ATGGACCTAGTGCACTGTTAGTTTGCCCGGTGTTTCGGATTCGTTAAGGTACTCACTTATCTTACAAATAAAGTGACTTATAGTGTTTATTACCCATATTCCAACTGGTGCTTTGTTCTCAACGATATAAAACTTATGTGAAAGATGTTATGATGTATGTTAGACCTACTGCTCTGTATTTTGACAACCCAGTTGTGACATTTTAGTTCATAATAGGGCAAACCAGTGACACCTAATACTGCATTTGAAAATGTAGTAACCAGTTTACGAGCCTGAGGCAAAGTGTGAGATTAAGTTTGGCCCTTATTTTTGAGAGAATTTCCTATCCTAAGGTGTCATGTCTTGTAAAGTAATTAATAACAGTCCATTCCTAGTCGTCTTCATAAAATATACCTTTATTCCTTCTATGTTTCCAGGTTTACGCATCTTAAGCCGACTGGTCATCGTAGTAGATGCGCAGCATGATGTACCTAAATGTGATCTGGTGTTCATGCTTGATCGAGCGTTTTCAGCTAGACTGTGTCCAGTAAGACTAATGAGGTCAGCAAAATGTCGGAGACTCACTGATCTATTTGTTCTGGTGATGTATTTACAACTGCGATCTATTTCTCTTTAAGTCCTTTATTAATGATTCACCAAGTAGTTTTGATTCCCGGTCTCTGATGCATACGAATGATTTCAAGGTTTCAGAGGACAGACAAGGTTGTACAGGTATATCAACTCTTCAAGGTGACTTGGAAAGTAAAAACCGCTCGGTCATTAAAACCTTGTGCCGTAGTAACTCAAGTAAATGAAGAATTCCAGTGGCGAGTAGTAGTAATACAATGACCATTTATCTGCGACTACAATTTTATGCGATACTGTATTTCTTCTCTTATAAATTCTGTGGCGAATGCAACCATCTTTATTATCTGAAAAACGTTGAGTATCCTAAATCTCAAACTATTTATAACCGTTTTTGGTGCTTAATCAAGATTCTGCCATCAAAATTTACCTATGTATTTATCCCCAAGATATAGCTTTCTTGGAAAGACCCATGTGATACTTGAAATTAGGTAATCATTTACTTTTTCTCAGGCTACAGAATGTCCTGGTGGGGTTCCTAAGAGGTCAGTGCTGAGACCTCTTCTTCCCTTAGTTTACGGGAATGACCTTCTTCAGAAACTATTATTTGATTTATTAGTTTTTTTAACGATGCGAAACTCTGGAGAAAAGTTTGTAGTCAAGAAGGATGTCACTAAACTTCAAAGTTGAGCCAATAACAACGAACGTGTTTTCGACACTTCAAAGTGTAATATAGTCCATCTGAGACCTGATGCAGACTATCCAAACAGCTTAAGTAACTCCATCCTAAAGATATCCCAATTTGAATTATCTAGAAATCTTGGTACCCTGTGATCTGAAATCTTACTCTGAGATAAAAAAATACCTATTCAGATAACCTTGCACTGGTATCGTTGAGATGCACTTTTCGTCAGTTTAACGACAGAGTTCACTATTCACCCTTCGACAGTTTTATTTGTCCTCATTTGGAGTATGGAGGTATAGCGTTTTCTTCCTTATTTCAAAAAGATAAGAATAGATTGGAACGCACCAAGTGACAATACACGAAATTAATTTGGAAACTCGAATTCGAATCATATTAAGGGCGCTTCAGATCAATTAGTTTCGGCCCACTAGAGTATAGGCATCTCAGAAATGAACTTCCAGCACCCTTAACATTCCTCGGTATCCCCTTAAATGTAAACTTAAGCTCTGCCTCAACCCGAAACTTAGGGGTAACACCGCGGAAATTAGAGGCGACATAACAGAATCGGTTGTAGGCACACCTTCTACGCTACACAAGTAGCCAAATCCTGAGATTCGCTGCCACTTCAAATAGTTCAAATGGTTGTGGACGGAATAGGAGAAGCTTTCGCTTAACAGGCTTCCGTGTCTAGTAGCAGGGGATCACAGAATCCTCCAGGCAGGAACCTAGGTATGTTAACAATAAAAGAGGAAAATGAAATTGGTAAATCATAGTGTGATGCTGTCCTTAGTTCTTAAGAATAGGTCAAGTTACGTCTTGAAGGACTCCTGGGAAGTCTCTTGGACTAGTTCGGCCGGCAGCCAGTTCCAGAATTTGACAACTCTTAAGGAATAGAAATTATGTCTACATTCCATCTTGCTATGTTGTGCCTCCAGTTTCTGGGTGTTACCTCTTGGGTCAGTGTTCAAACTAAGCTTAAGTAGGTGTTTAAAGGGATGTCCAGAAGTGGTGAGAATACTATAAGTCATTAATAAATCACCTCTAAGACGCCTATACTCTTATGGGTAAAGGTCTGGTGAATGGAGGCGTTCTTCATAAGGTTTAAATTTGACTCCTCGAACTGATTTCGTGGCTCGCCGTTGGATACGCTCCAGGGTGTCCCTATCATTTTGGAGTGAGGGGGAAGTACTATGTTTCCGTACTCTAAGTGGGGACGGATGAAAATATTAAAGATTATATGGAAAGTTCTTCCTTCGAACTGTCCAAAAATGCGCTTCAATGTTACCAGTGCAAGGTTTGCTCGGAAGGCATTTTCGTCACAGTTAGCGTAAGACTTTAAATCATGGGGCACCAGGACTCCTACATCTTTTTCTACTTGAGATACTACCAGGGAGGAGTTTCCCTTGTTATAACTGTAGTCTGCGACATCTCGCAGATGGACCACTTTACACTTTGAAGTGTTAAAAGCAAGTCCATTATTATCTGCTTGACTTTGGAGTCGAGTGGGATCCTCCTGAAGTGCCTGTATATCGTCTTGGTTGTGTATCTCTCTCCAAAGCTTAACATCATCGGCAAAGAGTAACAATTCTGACGTTACCTGTTGAGGAAGATCATTTATGTTGATCAAGAGGAGAAGAGGTCCTAGTACTGAGCACTGGGGAACCCCACTAGGACATTCCATAGTCTGAGATAAAGTGAAATTAACCCTAACCTTAAAGTGTCGATTGTTCAGATATGAAGTAAGCCAATCGATTAGAGGTGGTCTGATACCCAATCGTTTGAGCTTATTGATAAGACATGTATGGTTAACCTTATCAAAAGCTTTTTTGAGAAATCTAGGTAGACGGTATCAACCTTTCCCTTGTGATCTAGGATGTTTGTCCATCTGTCCACCACAGTCAGCAGGTTGGTAATACAAGAGTAGCCCTTCCTGAAACCATGCTGTTGGAATGAGATGAAATTTAAGGACAGTAAATAGTCATTTACACCATCGCATATCAGGGACTCCATGATTTTTTAGGGTATGGAGAGAAGAGCCACCGGCCGATAACTTGAAGGTTCATTGCGTCCACCTCTTTTGAAAATTGGTGTGATGTGAACCAACTTCCAATTTTCCGGTAATTTGCCTCGGCTTAGCGAGTGTGAAAACATCACGCTAAGCGGCGTTGCCAGGATTGAGGCTGCTTCCCTCAGTATGGCAGAATGGACCATATCCGGGCCAGGAGAAGTGTCTAGTCTTAAATGCTGCGAAACCCGGAACACCAAGTCAGCACTTAGGTTCACTTCGAAAAGTTCTATGGAATCGCAAATGAAACGGTCATCAGTAAAGTTGAAATGTCTGAGGGTAATGTTCAGCTAGAAGGTTAGCGGCGTCGCCATCATTGTTGGTCGGGCTGTTAAGACCTACCAGTTGGAAAACCCCAGTTTTGGCTTGACGAAGAGAGGCTGCGTAACGGAACAAGCTTTTAGGATTAGAGGCAAATTTGTCTATAAGCTTGTTCTGGTACTGAAGCCTGTCTTCTCTCATAGCCTTCGTGCATATGTTCCTGATATGTTTATATTGCCTATACGCTCCATCGTTATTAGTTTGTTTGTATTCCACCCAACAGTGCCTTTTGCGGCTTAGCAGGCGAAGGGTACGATTCTTGATTACTGTAGGAGGCTTGCAGCTTTTGGGAACCGTTTGAGGAACTGAATGGTTTGCAGCACATAAGAGCGTGTGCAGTAAGAAGTCCCATTGACCGTCCACATCGAGTTGAGGGTGAACATCCCAATCCACCTGTTGTAGATAGTCGTGTAGAGCTGGCACATTCAACCGTTTAAAATTCCAACGCAAGTTATTGGTGGGGTATCTTAGCTTAGTTTTGCTGACAAAACTGAAGGCTATGACGGCATGATCGCTTTTTCCCAGAGGAGCCAGGATTGAGAGGTTGTCGACTAGGAATTCTTCGTTTGTGAATACACAGTCTAAGCGCGATGGTGTCTGACTGTTTCTGTAACGAGTTGCCGACCTCACAATTTCTTATAATCCCAAGTCGTCGATGAGGTTGAAGAACCGAGCTTCAATTGAGTTATCGCCTCCAGTATGACTTAGTCCAATCGACTTTCCAGGAGTCCTTGCAAAGAAAACTTAACACGTTCTTCTGAACTTATTACAGTAGTTAACTGTAATTTTTTACTACTTCTCTTTTGATTATTAGATATACCTAGGCTCCTACCTTAAGACATTGGTTATCCATGCTATTAGATGAGACAGCCCGTTGAGCGAAAGTTATCATTCCGCCGACAAACATTTGGACCAGAAGATAGTACCTGTAAAGTAGACATAAAAGGTCTCCAATCACATGCATCATACTGCTCATAATTACATTGATTCTAATTCATTATCACGATATGAAGCACCGAAATGCACCCAAGAAATCATCCCCTACTAATGGAACACGAATGAGCAAATAGAAATGTACGTAGTGTTTTCACTGCTGAAAACTATAGATTGTGTAATTCTCTACCAAAAGCGATGGTGTTATTTCTTACCACTGGCAATTTCAAAAGACTGTTTTATAGCTAGTTTTATTCCAACGGTACTTTGGGTGATTAGGTATTCTTCCTTGATCGCTCCTGTTATTAACTATTGTTTTCATCGGATTTACAAAGGCTTCAAAATAGAGATATTTAGACAATTCTAAATCGGATTTCAAGATACAAATATTTCTCTACTTCTGTACTTCTGAGTTTTGAAACACGAGGCTTACCTCAAGGTTGACTTGCTTGCGTATTTTCAAACAGTCACAAGTTCAAATTCAGCTTCGTATACCGGGATTTAATACCTGGATAGTGGTGTCGGTCCACACTCAATATATGTGACTATCGCCCCAATACATTGAATTCCTAGTGGTTGAAAAACCTCATTTCCCTCCTCTTGCTAACAAATCGTTTAGATAATTAAATGGATAGTTCAAAACAAAATAGTATAGTAATAGATGTCAAGTTTACTTTTCCCAAAACTCAGGCTAAAATAGGAGTTCCTACAAAATTCGTCTTGATAGTAGCAGTTTTAGGATGTAGAATTTTCCTCGGCGTATGAGAGTACGCTAGATTACATTTCGCGCAATGACTGTTTCTGTTAGAATATATTAGGTTACACTAATTTGAGATTCCAGTACGTCTCAAGACGTAGTCTTTTTGGAGTTTGACCTACAATGGGTTACTTTGACGAAGATTTCTACTCGACATTTTTAAGATATGAAGATTCAGTAATCCCTAAAACAAGTTTGAATTTTGGAGCTTTTGTTTCCTATTGCAGCTTCTCCAACGTTGGGAGATTAGATTTACTTAAAGTAATCGAAATAATAGCATTTCTATTCGTTACTGTCCAATGTCATAAGTGTCATGGATTAGGTAAATTAGATGCGTCTTTAGATTGTCTGAAGTGTATGAGAATAAGGGTGTGGTTTTTAAAGGATCGACGAGGATCATCACAAACTCGGATAGAGTGTGGTTCAAGATAATGAAGTAGCAATAGGTTGATATTAAGGTAACTTCCTGCCATTCTAAAAATTTTCAAGATGAACGTGATGGTCCTCTTGCTGGAGCTCTTCATAAATAATTTTCTGTACTGTAGATGTTTATACTGATATTTAGAAACAATCTGGGTTAGTGAAAGTAGATGTTCTTAACAACCCTCGCGCCCCCATTCTAACCAGAGTTATGAATAGCGAAGCCCTTGAGATAATCGAGATTAAACGTAAATCCTTCGGAAATTTGGGTCCAAGTCTATGCTGTAAAATAGATATTTCACTTAACCAGTCAGCTGTACTGGCGCTGCTGGCCACTCCTGAAATTTAGTTCTAAAAGTAAATGGTTATGACTGACCACGTTTATGGTCTAGTTGTATATTTATATTCACCAATCCACGTCATATCTGATTTGCATCCCGTCCTGAATACCCACCTATATTTCTGTACAGTAGGTTTATTGTCTTTTCTAGCGGATTTGGTCCAAAGATGACTCACTGAAAAACTCCAATCAAATTGCTGCGCACTAATGTCTGTTGGTATCGTTTATGGTGATCAGTATAGACGGCTGTGTTGTAGCTCACCTAAGTTTGGCGACAGATACGCCTTGGTCATGGATTTAATCAATGCATACAAACTCATTCCAGAACTTTCTCGTGTGCCTCCCTTACAGTGGGATTCACCTAATCGCATGTATGAAGCAGTGACTACCTTTCACTCGTAAGTATTTCCGTAGATTATTTGAGTTTACTGTTCAATCACTTTAATGAGTAAAACAAATCGAATTCAGTACTCCTATTATAATTACTTAACCACTTTCCTTTGTTATCTACATCTGTATTTAAAACAAGTAATTGCTAGTTAGTTTCTATGTACATTACAAATGTTCTTGAATTAAAAGTATCTTGTGTGTTTTAGAACCAGTTTGTATCTACATTGATGTAGTTAAATTTACCTGCAGCGGCAACTCAGTCGAACTACGGTAATATGTTGCTATACTGAGATAAATTGGAAAATGCTGGAACTGAAAGCAGTTACTGTTGTGGTGCGAAGAACTAATCTAATGAGATCGGAGTTCGCCCCATTTATCAAGGGCACCGTATCTAGTACATAGTAAAAACTTGTAGAATACGACGACGCCAAGTATGTGTACATAAAAATTTTAATCCCTTGAATTTTTTGGGTCCAAATTACCGTAAATATAGTTCTGGCAGTAACCCTTTGCTTAGTTCATAGTTTAGCTTTTCACAATAATGGACTTAAGTCTTTATTGAATTGTTCGGTGGAGAGCGAAACATTCTGAAAACTCTTTCCACTACTGATCAATAAAAGTTAAAAACAGACCATAAGAAGAGCAAAATTATAATGTTTCTACCTATTTAAAAGCCCCAGTAGTCAGCTTATCGTAATGTAGAGATAATCCAGTTATCACAACGTTAATCTTAGGGAACTAATAGGATTTCTTAAGTCGGAATCTAAATGTACTATATTTGAAATATTAGATTTTATTTTCATACAAATTCTACATGTCTTCGTAGACCCACATAATTCTTCATTGTTCTTGATATCAATTTTATTTTCTATTTTTCTTCAGTAAAGAATATGTTGATGCTCTTAAAAAATTACAAATGCTACACATTGAGGAAAAAGAATTGACTGCTGATGACGAGTTACTTATGGATTCATTTAGTCTGAATTATGACTGCCCTGGTTTTCCTAGTGTTTTTGATTATTCGTTAGCTGCTGTTCAAGGTAGTTTAGCTGCAGCTAATGCTTTAATCTGTCGTCATTGTGAGGTAAAACTCTTTACACTATTTATCTTTAGGGCAAAAGTATCAATTGAGTATTATAATACTTTTGTCGTTCCTACTTCTTATTGAACACAACGTTGTGTTACTATTATTGTTGTTTCTGTTCCACCTCTGATTTAACTAATAACTTAAGTGAAATACTTTTTTAAAAATTTCAAAGTGGATTCTAATCGCAGAAAAAATTCTCATCAAAAAACAACAATCACTGTTATAAAATACTTTTTTAGAAAAATTGTTAGCTATTTTTGGGTAATAAAGCGATTTATTCCTTCCCCTTCGAGTAAGATCGACTTTACTACAAATAAATATTCTCGCAAAGCCGAAAAGTAGTTGTTTCTATTTTGTAATGAGAGTTTAAAGTAAAAATTGTGATTCATAAAAAAGTATTTTCAATACCTTTTTAAATAATAAAAGAACACCAAAGGTCTATTACATAATACAATAATCTGAGTCTCAATTTTCGTCTACCAACAGAAAACTTTCTAATGTAATGAAGTATACATCTTCATATATTTTTAAGTTGGTTTGACCCTTTGTTTTGCTTCTTGCTACTGTAAAGTACATTTTGGTTTCTTTAGTATTGCGAAACCCAGGCTATATCAAAGCTTTATTACGAACTACTGAAATTCATTTTAACAACTAATTAGGTATTTCATAAGTTAGAAAGTGCGATATTTTACATACTCCTGATTACTACGTCATGTGGCATAACTTCCCTAAACTCTTCTGTAGTTTCTTAAAAGCTCGATTCCTAAGACAATCATGTTAACAAAGACTTTGTCCTAAAAATCAAAAGTTTGAATTGGGCTCTAAAAATAAAGTAAACCAGTGAAAATCGCATAAATGGTTTTGGGAATGTATATTTAAGGTCCTTTGAGATTATGGTGTAGCTTTTAGAGCGCTTGACTCGCAAGCAGTAACCATTTGCGTATTTTTATTATGATTGGTTGAGGTTGCAGGTTCAAACTTCACCATACTTCGTTTGGATAACCACCCAACCTCACACAAAATGTATGGTTTAATGCCGATTATATAAATTTATTTGGCGAGTTCCATTTTATTATTACTTGTGTAGCCATTTCATTATACCCATTAATTACTTACTGTATCACTAGTACATATTTCACCCCACTGGTCTTTTAAAAATCGTTATTTTTATCCCCAACTTTAGGTCGTTATCAACTGGGGCGGTGGGTGGCATCATGCCAAAAGAAGTGAAGCTTCTGGATTTTGCTATTTAAATGATGCCGTTTTGGCCGTTCATCGACTGGTTTCATCAACTCCATCAGACATTTCACCCAACAGACAGACACGAGTATTGTATGTTGACCTTGATCTTCATCATGGTGATGGAGTAGAAGAAGCTTTCTGGTATAGTCCTCGTGTAGTTACGTTTTCCGTACATCATGCCTCTCCTGGTTTCTTTCCCGGTACAGGAACCTGGAATATGGTCGATAATGATAAACTACCGATTTTCTTAAATGGCGCTGGTCGTGGCAGATTCTCAGCATTCAATTTGCCATTAGGTAGTTTTGTATTTCATTCAGTAGCTTTCTTACTCCCTTTACACCTTCATTTCTCAATAGTTATTTAATAACATATGTGTCGACAGCACAAAATAGTCACCATGTTGGGAAACAACAAGTTCATCTCAGTTTACAAATCTATGTCAAAAACAGTGTTTAAGAGTTGATGTCATCCAGTTGGTCAACATAAATTTAATGGAATGACTTTTGCTCTAGTAGTACAGTAGTAGTATAGATTACTCAAAATTAGCTTATATATATATATATATATATATATATATATATATATATATATATATATATGCGTTCGTGTTTCATCTGTATTTACTTTAATGTCTGTTAATTTGTTGTATTTAACTGAAAATTTAATAATAATTTTTATAACATTTACCACTGGTAAATAATGGTTACTTTCAATCGATTGGTTACTGAGTGATGACTAATATTACGTTTTTCTAGTTCTTCATCCTGTAAGTGTGTTTTCTTGTTCCCCTTTTCTTTTAACATTTTCTAAACCAATTGCTAACATAATGTCTAATTATTCGTTCTTAAAATGATCAATCACCCACTTGTATTACTGTTTCTTTTGTTAAACAACTGTCTGAATATGAACAACAATTTACTTTACTTTTTCAGTTTAAAATAAACCTAATAAAACTAATAATATTTTGATTCTGCTAAAAAATGAAGATCTTTATAATTGATAATAAACAATATCGAATTAAATTAATTATCATCACTTAGAAAAAACTTGTTATTATATCGCAAAAATACACTAACAGAATTTGCTACATACTTTGTATATTTAACACAAAAATAATGCCGAGTGCTGACTTGTATGTTCATAGTATAAGAGTCTAGTTACCATAGTTTTAGAATTTTCTAGTATTCATTTTCTTTCAAAAAATTAATTTCTAACCAAGCCCTTTTCTCACTCAAACTAACCACTTTTTACTGAGATTGGTATGTTAAAATAAAAATATGTATCTTTATTTACAGGTCTGTGGTAAGTGTGAATAGCATGATAAAAGTGTTGGATCCTAAACTGGTATTACATTTTAACAATATGTTAGACATTATGAATTGTTCCATCTCTATGTCATGTGTCTTTCTTGATGCTATTATTCAACAAAATACGAAGTGGCCCACCGGTGACATTGAAGAAATAAGAAACCTTAGGTCCCGACTCAATTGTCGTACCCGTTACTGGCCTCTTTTAAGTTCGAACAGCTCAGTGATAACGTTGTGTACTGTAAAGCCGGTTGACCCTGGTTCGAATCCTCTAGTCAGCATCAAATCCCTTGATATTAAAAGCGTACCTTGCTGGTGAGTGCCAAATAGCGCTAAACCTATGTCCAGGGTTTCCTGTCGACTACCTCGGACCACCGAACATCTCATAATGGTTACTCATCTCATCACTGCTATTTCCACTTTGTAGGGAAACAATATGGTAATATTTTATGATGAAAGTTAAATTTCTATACAACATAAATTTCGTAGAAAACCGTAAAAGGAGATTCTGATGTGTTGTTACAAGTGTGAGTCATTTAAAAAATATATCTTTGTTTTTTTTTGGACATATTTCATACTAGGTTTGGTGATGATTTTCCGAACAGAAGTATTTTAGTTAGAGTTCTGAGTCTCTCTTTTGACTTTTTGTAGTACCATTAGCCATAATATAAAACACGACCTTAGTGATTAAGTTGTAAACAGTGGTGAATACTGTTACCGCCATAAGGTTTTTTGGCATTTCACTGCTTGGTTATGGGTAAATTTTAAGTTATTGGAGTTAAACATTATGTACCTTAATAAATTGAGTTCTTTTTAGGGAAATAATTGAATAAAATTTTGTCAAAAGCTATTTATCTCTATATATGTTTACTTATTTATTTCTGCTTACAGAAGAAGGTATCAATGATTTGGACTGGTCAAATGCTATTGGCCCTATACTTGATTCTCTTAACATGGTTATTCAACCAAGTTATGTTGTAGTTCAATGTGGAGCCGATTGTTTAGCTACTGATCCACATCGAATATTTCATTTAACTAATTTTTATCCTAGTTTCAATTCAGATTGCGACCCAGAATGTAGTTTAAGTGGCTATTTGTACGCTATTAAGAAAATTTTATCATGGAAAGTTCCAACTTTGTTACTTGGAGGTGGTGGCTATAATTTTCCGGATACAGCCAGGCTATGGACAAGAGTTACAGCTCTGACAATTGAAGAAGTTAAGGGTAAAAAGTATGTTGCTTTCAAATTTTTTTTAGTTCTTGATCTATTTTCTAGTGCTAATATGTTATCTCGTTTTAGAGAATTCATGAATAATTCACTAGGTTCATCATCGAAGACTTAGTTCCAACTAATCTGTCATCTTGATTCTTTAATCTGTAGAATTTTGTAAATGTATGATTAGTTTGGTATGTTCAAATTCAGTTGTTTTTTGAACTTGATGTTTCATTATCAAGGTGCGTGCTATCACCAATGTGACTTAACAGGATAGTGAAGTAACTTGACTTCTCACCGATATTCTTTATCAAAATGTCTATCTTATTGTGGCGTGTGGCTAGCGAACTATTGAGTTTCTTGTGACACGTAATCATAATATAGAGGATACCACTGATATTTATTTGTCTCAATTAGAAAGCTTAAAATTACGTATGCACTTTAATGCACTTGTACGAAGCAGTGCTTATCGTTGACATGAGATTTATTCAATATCTTACTGTCCTTATTGTAAATATTTAAAGCTTGGATTTCAAATATTTTCACATTTTTGTCGCTTCCCAGTGTTTTATTTATCCTAGTCAAAACTTATGACATCAGTCTAGATGCCTACTTTGATACGACAACCTTATAATGTAGCCTTTTTTCAAGGAAGACTATGTATAAATTAGTGGGGTCAGTCAGTCAGCTACAACGTAGGACCAGGCACATATGTGCATCGGTCCAGGTTGCCACACCGCATCAGCACAACAAGATGAACACCGGATTCATAGCAGTGGTTAGATCAAAGGTGGTAATATATAAGAGAAAGATTGCATACAGAGATATAGTACAAGAAGAAAGAATTGGTTAGTAGAAAGAAAGATATGAAGTGATTTTAATCTCTTAGTTTAAGGGAAGATAGAGAGTGTATACACCTACGCCATTGTGATCGATTCTGAGCCATGTCACCAAGAGTCTCCAACCATTGGTTACGATAGTCACGCGGACCCCAACCAAGTAGTCTGCATCTACCAACATGGCTCAGACTAGAAGTTAGTGACTTCAAGCACTGATGCCACGTTTTGGTTTGGCCGCCCTTAACTTTCTTCCAACCATCCCCAACACCGGTTAGCATTGCACGTCGTGGTAATCGGTGTTCAGGCATACGTAACACGTGTCCCAATCATCTCAGTTGATGAAGATTCACAACCTTATCAACTGACTTACCATCATTCCCTAATACCCTGCGTCTAACCTCACTATTACTTACCTGGTGATCCCAGCAGACCCCAGCAATATTTCTAAGGCATCTGTAATCGAATACTAGTAGCTTACGAGTGTCTTCTACTCTTAACGACCATGTTTTGCTGCCGTAAATTAAAACAGAACGGACTGCCGCGCAGTATACTCGTCCTTTTATTGATAGACGGATATCTCGCCTTTGCCATACGTGACGTAAGTCGGCAAAAGCCAAACGAGTTTTTCGAATCCTTGCTGAGATTTCATCAGACACCAACCCATTAGGGCTGATCAGACTTCCAAGATAAGTGAAGTTGTCAACGCGTTCGACTACTTCACTCCCTATCCTTAGTTCAGGTGTTGACTCAGACCAGTCCTGAAGCAACAACTTGCATTTAGAGGGAGAAAAGCGCATTCCAAACATTCTGGCATTGTTGCTTAGTGCTACCAAAAGACTCTGCATTTTATCAGCGTCTTCACCAAACAGGACTATATCATCTGCGTATTCTAAGTCGATAAGTGGACCTCTTGGAAGGAGATCAATACCCGAGAATTCAGTAGACGAGAATGTTATTCCCATCAATAGGTCTATGATGAAGTTAAACGAAAATGGAGAAAGTGGACAGCCTTGACGGACACCACTTGAGGTTGCAAAATCAGATGACAGTTCGCCATAAGCTCTGACTCGATTAGTAGTGTTCGAGTAAAGAGCCTTCACAAGGTTCAGCCCATCGTTCTAAACGTCTTGAATGGGAGCAGATGAGGGTGTCGCCTTTTTCCGAAATAGTCTGACTTACACTTCATTTATTAATTCCAGTTTCTTTTATTAGTCTGTAGAGCTGTCTTGTGTTCCCTATAGCCGTCGTCTTTTCCATCTCTTTTGCTTTCGTTGCCCACCACTGCTCACGGTCGTTCCTTAGACTTTTGGTTAGCCTAGATCTGATTTGTCGTCACTCTTCATCGTGTTCAGAGCCTGATGGGATGAGTTTACGAGAATCCATCAGTGCAATAGACCTTGAGGAAATCCATTGGTTCTTTGTAACCCTGTGGTTTAAATCACTGAGAGATGTCACTGCTGTTTCCGCAGCTGTTTGTATATCTTTCCAAGCAACATCTGGGTCAGCCTCGTTTTCAGAACTGCCTCATTGTGACCTCAGTTGTTCCTGGAACCTACTTTTGGTTTTCTCGCTACTCAATCCAGTTCTAATGAGTCTTTTTACTGTGGCTTTTTTGTGTCCAGTGAGGCGCAAGCAGATGCGTGCCCGTATTAGGGCGTGGTCCGAGTCCAAGCAGGTACTCCAGAATGAGCGACAATCTTCTACCGACCCTCTCCAACGATGACTGATGGCAATATGGTCTATTTGAGTCCATCGTTGGTTTGGTGTAGGGGGTCGCCATGTTAGACGATGTCTCTCCTTATGCTTAAAATTTGTGTTTGCTAAAAATAAACGATTGTCCGAGCACAGCTGCAGCAGACGATCACCATTATCCGTTCGTTGTGCCGGAATACTAAAATACTCACCTAAATGCCTTTCTGTTTGGTTTAAACTACCTATCTGGGCATTAAAGTCACCCCCTACGAGTACTATGTCTGAACGTTTAGCTTTCTGAAGAAGTTCAGATAGCTTTCTGTAAAATTCATCTTTCACTTCATCTGAGCTGCAGTCGGTGGGAGCGTAGGCAGGAAGGACGAAAAGCAACGACGTGTGTCCCTATCCTTCCGAGTTCTTACGGAGCCGTTTAGCCGAACAGCACATAAACGACTGTTAACGGGCATCCACTCTAACAGTGCTTGTTCGGTCCTCATGCTTAGTGCTATGCCTACTCCTGCCAGTCCACGAGAACTGGCCATCGGGTCACCAGATACACGGAGGGTGTATCTCGTTGGCTCTCCGTTTTGCCGAGGTGAAGTCAAGTGAATGACCACACTGGAATCCTGTTTGCGTGTTTCGCAGACACAGCATACATCAATGGTACGAGATTCTAGGGTTCTAGCCGAGAAGCCTGCTGACCGATTTGACATAGGGTTCGTACGTTGAAGGCTCCAATGTGTAGTTTGGAGCGAGATTTCAGTAGACCTAGGACAGTGCTTCATGCACTAGAATCGTTGGCTATGGTGACATTTGAGGAGGAAGCCGAAAGAGGAAATTTAGAGGTGAAAGTCGATGTAGGAGGAATAATAGGGATTGAAGAGGGAGGTTGATTGTGAATACAGTGGTCTTGAGTGCTGTTAGAGGTATGAAGGCGGTTATCACTTCCCGGTTGCCCACACTGTGGAAGGGTTGTTCTGGAGGTACCTGAAAAGGAAATTGGATTAGAGGTGGTTTTAGTGACCTGAGAGCCCAAGGGACAACTGCTTGAGGTCGGCCACACACGACCTTTTTGTGGGTGATTTTTGTGTTAGCTCCGTACTTGTTGAGACCTTACCGCCGGAGACGGATATCCGTGGGATAAGGCAAGGTGTGCATTTTTAGGGTGGACTTTTTCTAACCCCACCCCTCCTTGTAGGAAGGCAGCATCGCTGTCATGCTGGCTGTCTGAAGGAAACACCTTGCTGCTGTCACATCTCTGTACAGTCAGCAGTACGACTTCGCCTTCGGACCTTGGGTTTGTTGCTTTTAGTCTTACCGCTCTTCAACCGACCTGTCTGACATGGTAGGACCTTGAGGAACGGTTGTTCCAGCCAGTATAGCTCGATTGCTTCATCACGGTAGGCAAGTCCGACCACCACGTCAAGGTAGCAACAACGGTCGGAATTTCTTTTCATTCAAAATACCTCCTATACTGAGGTTGTGGTCTTATTCCAACTTCTCAACTTTATGTTAATCTTTAGTTATATTTCATTTTCGAATTTAAGTAAAACCAAGACCATCGTGAACGGTGTGACTAACAGTTGTTGATTATTGCTATACCTTAAATTTACAAATACTTCTTTTCCGCGTCTGTTTACTACTACAGGATGACACTTCTCCCTGAAATTCCAGAACACTCCTACTTTTCTCGTTATGGTCCGGATTTCGAACTAGACATTGATTATTTTCCACACAAAAGTAATAAAAAAACACTTGACAGTATACAGAAACATCATCGACGTATTCTCGAACAGTTGCGAAATTATGCTGATTTAAATAAAATGACTTATGATTATGACAAAGTGTACCAATTATATAATTTAACTGATATGTAAAGTGCAGCTATGAATTTATCCTCTGTTTACCATGGATTTATTGCTCCAAACTTTTTAGTGATGCAGTTCTACAGTTTTATCTCTGTAAATAAAAATACATATATGCTATTATCATTATTGTGTTTACATTTTGTCCTTAATAGATCTAGAAAAAAATTAAAGATATTTTCATACTACAAATGTAAACATGGCTCACTTTATCATTATGAGGGCAACAATAGTCCTTGCAAAATGAAAATATTAAAGGTAGATCTGACTGTGTACTGGATTTTTCTCTTTTCCTGTTTACATCCAAAATGCTTAAAACGAAACAGGCGGAAAGTCTACTACTGCAGTGATTATATCAAGCGTAAAGCTAAGAGTGGTAGCTGATTAATTTATATGAACATGTAGTGGCTTTGCTTCGGTAATCAATCACCTTTGTGACTGTTATTATATAAATTCCAACGGTGTTTGAAATCAGGAGGCAATAAAAGTGGTGACTACGCTTTATTATTGGATAGCACAGATAACAAAACTACAAACACATCAAGCGAATTCGAAGCATAGACGAATATGTGCATGTGAGCAAGTACAGAGGCAAATTTATAGTCAAATCGCATAAGGGCAC